GCCCAGGTTACCAACAATCCTGAAAATGATGGCTGCATAAATGCTGTCTTACTGGTCTAATAGCACTTTGACAACTGATACAAACCAGCATTACCATGTACTTCCAAATGCTACCAAACAGCCTTTCTTAAGAAGTCCTGCAGTCAAGAGAACTATTTGTTATGATATAAAAACATTAAAATGGTCCAGTTTTAAAAATTGGTCTTTTTTGTCTTCAGAGTTTTAAGTGTTAAGATTGAACAATGAAAAACTTCATCACTGTATGAGCAAGTAGCTACTCCTAGGCAAATCTATCATAAAAATAACCAGTGTTTAAAACGCAACAGCTTTTTTATACAGTTGCCTTTGACTCACGGTGACCCATTTCTTTCAGACTGGAATTGTAGGCCATAATGTTTTCAATGGCTGATTTTTCAAAAGTACATCACCAGCCCTTTCTAACAAAGTGCCTCTGGATGGACTCAAACTTTCAGCCTTCAGTCAGCAGCTAAGTGGTTAACCGTTTACACTACCCATGGATGCCCTATAAAAGTTTATCTTTTCTAGAAAAGATCTATATTGATACTGTATTTTCTACCTAACTATGAAAAAGGAAATAAACATACCAAAATATTTGTACTTTTAGCAGTTTATATTCTAAAGAGAGGATTTATTTTCAGAATGGTAATAAAAATTTAACTACCAGAAGAGACTATATTAAAGTCTTTGAGAATTTTTAATTGGCGTTACTTGTTAATGTGCCATCAAGTTGCCTGTGACTCAGCAACCTTATGTACAACGGCTCTGAATGCTGCTCTATCCTAAACCAACCTTATTTTCTCTGACATACCTACCTCATTACCCCAGTCACTTAGTCAATCCATCTCACCAAAGGTCTTCCTCTTGCACTGTCCCACCACCCTCCCAAGCTTGATGTCCTCCAAGGACTGGTCCCACCTTGCAATGTGCCAAGAGTATGTCAAACAAAGCTTCAGAATCCTTGCCTCCAAGGAGCAGCCTGGTTTCACCCTCTCTAGGAAGAATCTGTTTCTTCTCTTAGTGGTCCATGGTTTATTCAATACTCTTCTCCAGCATCACAGCTCAAAGGCATCAATTCTGTCATTCCTAGTCATTGTCCAGCTTTCTGATTGTTTGTTGTTATGTGCCGTCGAGTCGTTTCCGACTCATAGCGACCCTATGCATAACAGCCCTAAACCCTGGTCTATCCTGTGCCAACCGCACTGCCTCTGACACACCCATCCCGATTACCCCAGTCACTGAATCGATCCATCTCATAGAGGGTCTTCCCCTCCTGCGCCGT